GGCGTTTTTATTGCTGCCTAAAGTTGGTGCATTTTAACATCGGGCGGTCTAATGGAAATTGCATCCTTTCTGCAGCCATCGGCCTATCGGGCACCCGCAAATTGTGATGAACCTGGCGAGTTTGGTGCGCCCACTTCCTTCTGCGCCCAGAGTGTTGCCACATGCGCGGACAATGCGCACATTAAAAAGAAATGACATGCCCATTAGGATGGTGAACAATGAAAACGTGGATACCTATTAACAACGATTTGACATTTGATACCATCCAAGCATTGCTCAGCATGTTAGCATTCTGGGTGCTTAGCCCATTGTTCGCGATCTGAATTTATCGACAAGGCGGCCCGTCCACACTATAGCCTTCATAAAAAAGCCTTGGGAGTCTGGGCTCGTGTCTTGGAAGCCTTTGTGGGGATTTTATTCGAGCACCGCGACCAACAACCAATCACATGAATGCCCCGCCCCCGGCATACAAAGCAAAAAAACCCGGGGATTTTATGCGAGCAATATATATATATATATATAAACTCCCCAAACAGGCGAAAACCTACCAGTTTCACCCACTGTCTCTGCCACCTCCCTCCATGCCTGGTTCCTCCGGTTTGTATCCCAGTAAATAGTTCTGGTCGTAAAGAACCGGGTGATTTGCTACCGTAATTTCTCGTTTGGAATATGAGGAAATGAACTGCGGTCTGGCTCTCCCAGCTTGCACGCGGTTTGATTGGCTAGCGCTTGAACTGTCAGATTTGCATAAACGGGATTTGATTGGCTGACGCTGGCTACTCCGGCGTCTCCGGCTACAGAAGTTGAACATTGTTCAACTTTTGCAGCCTGAAACGCCAGGAAAGCTCCGCTCTGCTACCCACAATTCAGTTCGGCGAAAAGCGAGGCAACGTGACGTCACCCCATTCAAAGTGAATGGGCAGATGCGTTGGAAACCGTTTTTGAAGCTGTCGAAGCTGTAGTGTGGACGGGCCGAAGAGTCACGGAGCTGCTAGCATAGACCTCTTAACATGACATGATATGACCACACAATTATTATTTGTTTATATGAACTTTTAATGCTTTTATTTTGTTCTCTCTTTTTTTTCTGTTCCCACCTTTCTCGTAGTTTATTTTTCATGGGGGCAATGCTGGTTATTGCCGCCACATTTCTCTACAGCAGCGAGCGCAAACCTGCTAACGGCAACGCCATCAAAGTCTAAGCCTGAGACCTCTGTGAAGTGTGCTACAAGAGAGGAGTGACGTCTGCCACCTGACAAAGACCCTTCCGGAATCTATGAACTGTGACATTAAGTATGGCGTGCAGGAATTATTCAAGCCAGAAATGTGGAAGTGATAAAACCTGGCACTGCCAAACATCTACAAATGGAGGCTGCTGGGGCTGGATGTTCTCCATCAGTTTCCTGACTGAATGCTGCTTTGTACAAAAGATGGGGGTCAATAATATGAAATACCTTTTTCTTATTTAATACTAACAGAAAGTAAGCCTAAGGTGGAGATAACTTTCCATGTGAACGGACACTGGCAGTAAAACTCATTGTCTGCACAACTAGTGTTCAGGAGTAACACATTACATGCAATTATTTAATTAAATAACAAAATAAATGCAATTGTAATCATTAACAATTACTAAGAAAGAACCCTTTTATTGAATGAGTTTTAAAATGTTGTTGATTACTAAGGTTTACAATGCTTGTGTGTTATTAATTAGCTCAAGCTATCAAAATCGTTAAATTACTTATTACATCTTATACCTAATACATTTCTAAAGTAATCTCACCAAGAGTGTGAATGACAGAATAAAAGTTATGGAAATAAAATTGTTAATGCAATTTACAGGGATTACGATTAAACCATGTCTTATGTTTGAAAACTATTATTTTATATATTTAAATATACTGGTAATGTATTTCAATGTAATGGGATGAAGGGAAAGGGGTTTATACTAAACAAAAAGGGTATTCATGGTGCGAACAGCTCATGCCTCAGAGGGAGGAAACTCCTCGACGGAGCTTCCATCTAGTGGTGGAATGAGGTCAAAGATGCTGAATGTCCTTTTGAAAATGAGATGAGATATGATGGGATATGGCTGCGTTGATCTTGCTGCTCACAGTCTGAGCATTTATATAAAAAGCACTCATTCTGATCTAAATGAAATGCAAATAAAGGTCTTTGTGTGAGAACAAATGAATAAATTAAGGCACCTTTTTTTATGTTGAAACAGCCGGCTCTGCCTTGATCTTTTTTTCATACTTCAAAGTTAAGTGAATGGATACATCAACACTGTGTGTGTGTGTGTGTGTGCGCGCGCGCGCGTGCGCGCACAGGCTCTTACATACACACTGATGCATACACACAGAACTAGGCACACCCATGAATATTTTGATCTTTTTTTTTCCAGATCCAGTTGCAGCACGTTGGGAAAACCAATGCAGTCTCTATAGCAACAGATGGCTGAAAGAGCTGTGGTGCAGCGACAAATGAATCAATATAACCTATTTTAACCTCTTTGAGTACTTTACATTTACAATTTTTATTCAACAATGACCCTGACAAATAAAAAACAGATTTAGGCAGATGAACAAAAATACATATTTTCCCTATTTTATCCTTTTTTACAGTCACAGATAATCTTTGCATAGTCAGAGCAAATGAGTGTGTTTGGATGGAGAGTGTGTGTGAGGAGGTGGACAGACAGGGGAGAATAGGAGCAGGCAGATTGGGAAGGTGAGGTGTGAACCTGGAGAGAAGCACAGATGGAGGATGAGTCATGTGACTCCTGTGTGGAGTGGCAGGCAGAGCTTTGGACCGAGCCCAGCACGAGCCACTGGACCGAGCACGACACAGGAAATTCATCTGCGATTATCAGCAGCCGCCTACTGCAAAATAATACGATATGAGGAGAAGCTGACCTCATACGGACCAGGGATAAAGAATGTTACTAATTCAATCATTTTCAAAATGCAGTCTGGTTTAATTCAAGGAAACTATTAAGAGTACATTAAGTCCCTGATCGTAGGAAGATTTATGTTGCTTAGTAGTGCAACATGTCCTGATTAGAGCCACATCCAATCTACCTTAAAGAGACAGTTCACCCCAATATATAAAAAACATATTTCCCCACTTACCTGCAGTGCTATCAGTCTGGACTATTTAGGTATTGGATGGTGATTTTTGGAGATACCCACCATAGAGTAACTGCCTCATCCAGTATAAAGCTGCATTCACATGATACAGGATCACCTCTTTGCTCACCAAGCGGTCGGGCGCGGTTCATTTCTATGGAAACCTTCTCTGTTAGCTTGGGCCCCTACATACAGCTTTCATCTGATTGGTTGCATGTCGAAAGGTCAGTGGTAACAATTTCAAAATTGAAATCATTTGAACTTTGACTGCTCAGCGACAAGTTTGAGCAGTGTGCGACACCGATGATGGCTCTTTAGCTGAGTGTGGCAGCACCGGGCTCTCTTTAGAAACACAACGGCAACGCCAGCGCAGAGCTGTTTTACGACTAGTCATGTGAATGCAGTTTAATGGAACTAGTTGGCGCTTGTGGTCTCAAAACACCAATAATTACATTTGACAAAATCAACAATAATACATATTTCCAGAATACATGAACGGGTTAATAGAGATAATCCACAGACCTTGTTGAGAGCAGTTTTATGAAGTCACTTTTTTCTTTCTACTTTATCACTACACAAAAATAATCTTGATAATGCTATTGAACAGAGGCTGGAGAAAGCAAGATGAAAATTGTAATGCCATCTTCCTCGGCTCTAGCGTTAGCTATTTAAAGATTAGCTAATAGGAGCCTCCATGATTAGATGTATGCTTCCTTTTGTGCGGTGATAAGGTAGGAAAACAAATGTCCTGCATAAAACTGCCAACAACACGGTGTGAGGACTATCTTGTGGGGGGAGTAGTTTCCCTTTAAGTCTGAGTACAATTTGGCCTCATTCCCAGCTATGCTTACATTTGTGGTATGGCACCATTACAAGTCATATACACCGCACTTGTTGAAGGCATAGCTGAAATGACTTATTTCATGTGGTCTACCTGCTCTCTGATATAGTTTGTCATCCATATAAATAAAATATCCGCTGCACGATGTAGTTGAAAATATGTGTGTGCATAAGTATGGTGTATTAAAAAAACTCCAGGGAAAACTCCAGCAGGTTTTGCTTCCAGACTTTTATGCAAGGTGGGTGCTCTTAATACAATCTGATCGATGCATGTGTTAATCTTAACCCTAAAAAGACTCATATAATACTTTGTCTCTGTTAAATTATCTGAATACATCTGGTAACTCTGGAACTGAGTGTGTTGAAGGCCTTTGTTGGCACTGAAGAGGTTTAACCAGCCCGCAGGGTCTGTGTTTTTCTTTTTTTTGGCTGACTTTCAATCAAAATGTCTTCAGGTATCAATGTACAAAACAAATGCTTAAACTTCTCAAGGACAGCTTTGTGTCTCTCTCACGCTCTCATGCAATAAGATCTACATAAGGATGCAGGATGCAGTCTAAAAACAGCGTTCCTTCTTGGCTAAAAAGCAGGCAGAACTCTTTAAAGGAGTCCAAAACTGATCTGGGGCCAAAAAAGCCATTGATGCCACCTGGGCCATTGTTACTAGTTTTTAGTCGACTTCCATTTCTGATACGGTGCAGTGCAATATCCATTCTGGCTTGTTTTCATGGTCCACTTCAATCTTTCAGTGAGAGCTGGCATCAGGGAATCTCTTCTGTGATAGGCTTCATCACCTTTTCTGCAAGAGGAAACAATTTGTCTTTGCAACCAATCCAAACTCCTATTTTGGCGGTATGACCACTAGTGGCGCCCCTCTCCGCGGCCTCCACATCAGCACTTGGGCGTCGTTGGCGTTGGGCCTTCCCAGTGCGTTGGGAGGGATGGGCTCCTGGTAGTTGAGAATGTGCGGCTGCTCCTGGTAGGGACGCCCCACCAACGAGGACCGAGAGCCCAGAGGCATGTCGGGCTCCACGGCAATGTCCACACGCATCCGCCACCGTACCGTCTGTAGCACAATGCGCTCCTGCAAGAGAGCAGCGTAATATCAAGGGAAGACATTAAAGGGGCCCTTTTATGGTCATTTTCAATTTCATTTGTATTGTGTGCCTCTACGGTGACATGTTTCCATGATCTACTGTTCAAGAAGCTCTTTATTTTTCTCATACTGTCTGTGCTGCAGCACCTATTTTCACCTTCTGTCTGAAACCAGAGCCCACACGGATTTTAGCCTTTGCAGACCATTTACATTCACAAACACCTATGACACTACAGGAGAGGAAATATCAGCTATAGAATGTTGAATGTAGGACTTGTACTTGTGTGACTTGTTTGTTATGGAGTATTTTTGCACTGTATTGTACTTAAGGGGAGACACTACAGGTGAATACAGGTAAAGAGACAATATTTTGTTGAATTTCAAGTTTTCTGAATTGTTTGAATGCAAATGAGGCATTAATGAAAGAAATACATGTAGCTATAAATGATACATGAATAAACCCTTCTGTCAAAATGTTGGTGTATGTTTGTGGCTTGAGTTTAAGTTTGTATTTCTTTATCATTCATTTAGCAAAACGCTACACAGAAGAATGGGGTGAACGAAATCGCTAATATATACTGTATTTATCTTCGCTAGTATACTGCTTCTATTAAGCTAATTATTTTAATTATTACGAGTTTAATTAAATGTTATGCTAAGTATGTATATGAGGCAATTACTAATAATAACTTAGGGTGAATTTAGGAGAACTATACTAACACAAAAAGAAAAACAAACACACAAATGTGTATTTTAGATATTTTCTTTGCACTATATATATATATATATATATATATATAATAGCCTGTAATATAGGATATGGAATCTATAGGCGAAACTCAAAAAAATGATCAGTGCATGAAAGAAGGATGTTTGTTTTCCTGTATGTATGCAGGCCGCAGTGTATNTTATCCATATAATATATATGTGATATATTAAATATAAATATATATATAATAATATATATATTCATGCATATGTACTATATATATATTATGATACTTGATTTAAATACTGTTGAAAATTTTATTTTTTTTACAAACACAGAGAGTCTCCGAAGTTGATATTTTCGTGGGTTTGAACAGACGACCCCTGAACGACCGCACGCCGTCGCCCGACGCTCTCCCCAGCCTCAGGGGACCTCCGTCGAGTAAAGGTTGATTGTAATTCCTCCCGTTTTAACAGGCGACACCGTGCTAGTGGTAAGTTGAATGAGTTCTTTCCATACGTGGTTTATGCCCAAAATGTAACATTTTTGTCCTTTTTATTTAGTCCAACACAGACGGACCCCCGTCAGGGGGGGAAAATAAAGTACTGGTACCGACGTCATTTGTTCATCATTGTTACCTTAACAACGATGAAAATACTTCACTATGTGGTTTTCGTTTGTAAACCGGGAGAATTTAATTCTTGGATATTAGGTCCAAAAACTATTTTTTTAGAATATCGTTAAGACTGTACTTATGTATTCTAACGCTAACATTTACTAAGGACTTTGATAAACTTGCCGGTTATATTTATTAGTGTGGCCGTCACACTCATTCCTACATGTCACCCCGTTTTTTCATAAATCAGTCGGTGGTTAACACCGTTCTAAAAAAAAAAAAAAAAAAAAAAAAAAAAAGCGAGGTGAATTGTTTCTACTCTCCGGACATTAAAAGTAGTTTTAGGTCTTTTAGTGTACCAGACTAAAAATTTCTGAAATAAACGTTTTAATACACCCTTTTATTACATAAACCAGTTATTGTTTTCAACGTAAGAGTTATGAAGGAATATATGGAAACAAACCTTTCTGTCTCCAGTTTGCAAAAGACATTCAGAAAGTGTTCCAAAAGTCGTGTGACACGACCATAAAACCGGGTAAGGAAGGTACCCGTCTAGCAGGAGATCTCGTCACCTACAAAACCCCGGACAGCGACCCGTTCGTGGTGTGAAGTTGGGGCAGGGTTTCTAAAGATACCCCACACTCTGACCTTCTGACCGATCCGGTGAGTCCTGGACACTTTACGGAAGAATGCTTCCGGTCGAGGAGAGCAACGCGCGCCCGCCACCAAACCCTTAGTAACAGGTACGAGCTTTCTGGTTCGGTGACAAAGTAGAAGTTACGGAAGCGACTACCTTCTCCAACAG